GTTGCCGCCATTCGGGACTTTCCACCCCCTACCTCGAAGCGTCAGTTGCAACGGTTTCTTGGTATGGTGAACTTTTATCGCCGGTTTCTCCCAAACTGTGCCGACACCATCCTACCTCTGACCAGTCTCCTCTCTGGTTCTAAGCGCACCTTTGAACTTACATCAGTCGCACTCACGTCATTTGAGCAGGTAAAAGCCCTTCTGGCTGACGCCACCCTCCTGACTCACTTTCACTCTGATGCACCCATATCTTTGATGGTCGATGCCTCCAATGTTGCTGTTGGCGCGGTTCTTCAACAAAGTCTGCCGGATTCTACCGTGCCTTTGGCTTTCTTCTCCAAGAAACTATCCAAAGCAGAAACCCGCTACAGCACATTCGGACGTGAACTTCACGCCGCTTATCTTGCCGTAAGGCACTTCCGGCACTTACTTGAAGGTCGAGAGTTCACAATTTTCACTGATCATAAGCCACTCACGTTTGCAATACATTCCCATTCTGACAAGCTAAGCCCCCGGGAGATCCGTCACCTGGACTACATTTCGCAGTTCACTTCAGACATCCGCCATATTGACGGGTCAAGGAATGAGGTGGCTGACGCACTGTCCAGGCCCTCTATTGCTCATCTTCAGCTTTCACCCGGGATAGACCTCGCTGAGATGGCCGCTGAACAACGCCGTGTCGGTCCACCCTGTGATGAGGATGTTTCCGGACTCCAACTTCAGGAACTACCACTGACGACTGGCAACGGCACCATTTTATGCGACGTATCCACCCCTTCCCATCGTCCATTTGTGCCACCATCCCTCCGCCGTAAAGTTTTCTCCTCCCTACACAATCTGTCTCACCCCGGGAGTCGAGAAACCGACAAGCTGGTTTCCGACCGCTTCGTCTGGCCTGGAATGCACAAGGACCTGAAAGCATGGACACGGGCGTGTCTCGGCTGTCAACGGAATAAGGTCCGACGGCACAACAAAACTCCCATTGGCACCTTCCCTACTCCGGACGCACGGTTCAGTCATATCCACCTGGACATCGTAGGCCCCCTGCCTCTGTCCAATGGCTGCTCCTATCTCCTTACCTGCGTGGATCGATTCACCCGGTGGCCGGAAGCTATTCCACTGCCTGATGTCGCAGCTCCAACGGTCGTCAAGGCTTTCCTCAGTCGTTGGGTTGCAATTTTTGGTGCTCCCTCCATTATCACGACTGACCGTGGCGCCCAATTTGAATCTCACCTCTTCCAGTCTTTACTCTCCTTTTTAGGCTGTACTCGCATCCGCACTACAGCCTATCATCCGGCAGCCAACGGGATGGTCGAGCGGTTTCACCGTCAGCTGAAGGCCTCCCTACGCGCCGCAGACGATCCGGAGAACTGGACAGACCACCTCCCCCTAGTTCTCTTGGGCATTCGCTCCTCCCTCAAGGCGGACCTTTATTGTTCTGCCGCTGAACTCGTGTTCGGTGCCACCGTCCGACTTCCCGGTCAGATGATCTCGCCAACCCCGCGAGTTGCAGTTGAGGATCCCACCAACCTCCTGCATCGCCTCCGGCAATTCCTGCGGACACTTTCTCCGGTTCCGCCGAGGCCATCCGTCTCCGAATCTTACCTCGAGAAAGATTTGGCGACATGCTCTCACGTCTATCTCCGCTGTGATCGAGTCCGCCGGCCCCTGGAACCACCCTACGACGGCCCCTTCCGAGTTATCTCTCGTGGGACGAAGAACTTCCGCATCCAACGCGGCACTCGCGAGGAGGTCGTGAGCGTGGACCGTCTCAAAGCTGCCTTCCCGGACACTCCTCCGGATGAGCCCTGTGGTCACCTACCCCCTGCTCTGCCTCCCCGACCCTCTATTCCACCGTCCCGTATACTTCCTCTGCCCCCATGTCCGCAACCCACAACTCCAACTACTACTTCATCAACCAGCAACACTGTAACCGCGAGCCATACTCACTCTACTCCTGTGCCCCCTGTATATATCACCCGTAGTGGACGCCATGTTCACTTTCCTGACCGTTTCGTTACTCATGTTTTTTAGACATCAACAGTTCCTTCGGTATCGCTACGCGCCACCTTCGGTCTAGCCGGGGGGTACTGTAGCAGTTCGCGTCTCCTCGCTCTCCGCCTTTGTCACGCTGCCCTCCTGTCCGCCTCACACTCCTTGTCGATGCGCTGATGGGGTGCGCGAGTGCTCGAAGCCAATCAACGCTGTCCCCACTCTGATTGGCTGGCGAGGTTGAGACAACGAAGGGCGCACACACACGCGGACACAACACCTCGAGGGCGGAGGCAGACAACAGCTGGCTTGGAGCGCGCTTGCGGCGACTGCCCACACAGCCTTTGTGTACACGCTTTCCAAGCAGTAAAGTTTGTCCAACTCAAACTGTCTTCCCTGACTTTTGATTGGGAATCTTTATCTTGTCGACCAAACAACTTTCGACAAACATTCCAGGCTGCTAGAGCGAGCGGGCTCTGCAGCGTATCCTGCTCAGGCCGTCAGGACATTATGCCACGAACGCGTGACAAGCGAACGATCAAGGTCATAACCCCTGTTCACACCTTCTTTGTGCTGCTTGGCCACCCATCAGCCTATGACAGTCCCCCTTGCCATATACACGACCGTTTCCCCAAGCCTCCTCACTTGTGCTGTCTATCGTACTCAGTACATGTCCTATTTCCAATTACCCTTCTGTTTTGCATACATAACATTGGCGACGCAGCCTAACGAACATGTCTTCACTGCTGCCTACACCGTTACCTTTCTGGCCAAAGAACACCCAGAAGCCCTCAAATGACTCGTGGCTGCAATGGAGAAAGACATTTGAGGATTATACTGAACTACTCCCGATTTTTTCGCCCACGATTGTACTAGACGACCCATCTAAGTTGAGACTCCTCCGGACGAATCTCGGAGAGTTGGGACAACGATATTTCGGTGCCGCCAATCTACAAAAGGCTATAGATCTCCGTACAGCCTTCTCAAAACTCGAGTCAGCGTGGGGAGGAAAAGACAACGTCTTTCTCAGTCGCTATCGGTTTTGTCAAATGCGTCAAGAATCCAGTCAATGTGTCAGTGATTTTATTACTAATTTGAATATGGCCAACCAGGACTGTGGGTATAAAGAGATCAAGGCAGACAACTTCGAGCACGCAATGCTCGCTCAGCAGTTGATCTTCGGTCTGCGCGATGAAAAAGCTCGGCAAAATCTTTTATCAGAAAAGAAAGATCTGTCATGGGAGAAAGCCTGTGATATCGCCAGTTATCAGGAGCGCGTGTGACAAAACCTTCAGCAGCTGAATCAGTCAAACGATGGAGTGATAGTATCCTTGGGATCTGAAATGGCTGTCACTCTAGTCAACACTGCTGTGTCTTCACCTAAACAGAGACCCTCAGCTCCCTCAAAAAAATTACCATTCTGCTACCCTTGTGGTCAGCATCATATCCGGTGGTCAGATTGTAGACACCAGAAGACGGTATGCCAGTTTGGCAAGAAAATCGGCCACATCGAACGAGTGTGTTTCTCCAAAAGACGAGCGAACACTAACACGCATGCGACCTACCCTAATCCAACTGGGGATGACGAGGCGATACTCCGAATGTTTTCGGCCAACGCGCCACTCCAATCGCCCTACACCATAACGCTTCCGGTTGATCATCAGCACGTGAA